CCAGGCAGAGGAGAGAAATCTGGTTTCTCTATCCCTGCAGAGTGCCAGAAAAGGAGCAATGTATTCACATTCACATGGGATGTGGGTTTCTTTGGCAACTTCAGAATGCATGTCTGGTTTAGCCAGTCAGCCGAATTCTTTAAAGAAACAAGTACAGACCTGGGAGAATGTGTGCTTTCTTTACAGAGGCCTGGAGTTCTTTATGTTTTTCGTGGGTTCTTTGGCTAAATATACCTAAACCTCCCTGCTTACCTTATCTCCAAAAGTAACTAGAGTGACTACTTTGATCTTTGTGTTGTTACAGAAAGTATTTTAAGTATTTTACCTTATTTTTTTATTTTAAAGAAAAGAAAACAATTTTAAAACAAGATAATTAGAGAATAACTATGGTTAATACATTGCATGTTGTTATCTTTAAACTAATTACTCAGAGTACAAAATGTTGGCATTTAGTTGTTCAGAAATTAATACAAACACTTCTTTTCAGTGAACTAAGAGAAATTAGTATATATATATATATATATATATATATATATATATATGTATGTATGTATGTATGTTTTTTTGTCTTCAGCTTCTCACACTAGGGAGACAGTACGTTGTTCACACATGAAAGTCTGATTTGTTTCACTTATGAAAGTGGTCTTTAGTTGCATCCATTCATCTATAAAAGCCTCAAGTTTATCCTTTTTTTATGGCTGAGTAATCAAGGTTTTTGTTTTTGTTTATGCTGTGGCTCAAACTCTGGCCTCCCACAAACTAAGTAACTACTCCACCAGTGACCTATGCTGCAGACCTAAGATTTAAAAGAGTTCCTTTTGCATGCTCTGGGTTTTTCCTGTTTCATCTTTTCATCACATTAAGTTATTTCTTTTCTTATGGAAGAACCATTTGGAAATTCTAAGATCACAGTTCTAGGAAAGTAGCTTAGATTTGTTGAAATGTGATAAACAGCACAGCTGTAAGCTTGTCTTCCACCAACATGGTGCCAGGAATCAGCCAGATTGGAAGATCAAGTGTGAGGACATTTACTTACCATGAAAGAGAATCTTCAAACAGTTATTTCCATGAAATTATTTTAAGGAGTTTAGGTCCCCTTTCCTTGTCCTACTTACTTTGGAAAATGTCGTTTTACCAACTGCAATCCGCAGGTGCCTGTAAGCCTGCCCTTTTTTCTGGGGCACTGGGAGAAATGGGGAGCTTGGAAAAGGAACCCTCTGACTTCAACAAGGTTTCAGGCTGAAACTTTATAACGGAGGCTACATTAACTTACTCTCAAAGCTTAACTTCAAAAGCTATGTATTTATATAGTAAATTCTGCTTTGTAACCTCTGACCCACATGTTGACAAAGCCTGCATTGCACCAGACCGGGCCTGAGAAGTTTCCAAACCTAAGATGAGGAATTTTACTCACCTAAACATGGAATGTTTGGAGGTTCACTGACTTGCGGAAAAAGAATTTTCAGGTGTAGTCAGTAAGAGGCATGGGAAGGCTTTCATTCAGAAGTACACACTCAAAGAAGTAGTGTGTGGGCCATAAAGAGAAAGGGGTTTTTGTGAGCTGGAGCTGTGCAGTCTTATGGGGTCTTGGGGTATATTCAAGATGAGTGATCCAGGATGTGTATTTCTACTGTCTGTTAGTTATTCACCAGACAGAATGCAAGCTGTTGCCATGTGTTTGAGTTTGAGATATGCTGCCTTCTAATATTGCTTTTCTGAGGTTGGAGGAAGTACAATTTACAGGTGAAATAGACATGTCCTGAGCTCAATTTCAGGCTTTTTAAAACTTTTAGAAATTTTGAGTTCCCTGAAAGGGAAAAAAGGCTTGAGTAACTTTTGTGACCTGAAACTACAGGGTGTTTTGTTTTGTTTTGGGGGTAAGAGGATGCAGGGCTTCTTGAAGTAGAACTTTAAAATCCCAATTTTCTTGTTTCTTTTTTGTCTTTTTTTTTTTTTTTAATTTTTTCCCTATCTTCACAAGAATCCACTTGCTTTTCAACAAAATGCCATGGCTCATTTTATTGAGAAATTAGTTGAATACTCCCCGGGCTTTCGGTAATATTAAAACATTCTATAGGCAAATATAAATATATTCAGTAATAGTGGTATTTTTATTATTCTGCCTTCACCAATGAAGAAAAAATACCGGCACAATGAATTTTGGAATACTTTTTAATGAGTTTTAGACAAGTTGTAGAGGCTTTCTAAAGCTTCCTATTCTTCAGTATGAAAATGAACAGAGATGCATGAGCACTTTTATGGCTATAAGGAGGCCAAAAGAACATTTCCAGTGTACACAGACATGCAGGCCAGCAGTGATCTCATCGTACCGTAATACGGGAAGCTCCCGTAGACAGCTCCCTCTTACCTGCGTTACAGATACGCAAATGTGGCCCCACACTAACAGCAAAATGCCAGGTGCTCAAAGGAAGCTAAAGGCATTCTGAGAGGCAGGTGTTTTCTCAGTCGGCCTTTCTGACTTTTTCCAGAGTGTGTTCTATGGGGATTGAAAATGAAATTTAGACAGTTCTGCCCAGCTACCAACTTCCTCAGTAAATGTGTTAGGTAAACGTAATACCTAGGTCACCAAAAGAGAAGAAAAATAATTTTGTAAGACATAAACTTTCCTCAGAGTTTCATTACAAAAAGAACCATTTTCAAAGCAAGAGAGATCATTGTTTTGTTCTGATTTACCACCCAGGTTAGAGCTGATGATTGGATATGTGGGAGTAAAACATTCTCTATAGATAGCATGCCATATGTGAGGTCTAGGAAAAGTAGATCACGAAATCTAAGATATTACAGTGAATTCCTCCATAAAATGTAGAAAATAGAAGGCCCAAAAAGGGAGGGCAACATCTGTGGAAAATTCTAGAGTCCATGGTGTTTGTGTCTCCTGAAGTCCACAGGGCCTGTTTCCTGTCCTAGTACCTGATCTTGCCCAGTTCCTGCTTCACTGTTTCCTCTCCCAGAGAAAAAACACTTATGAAAAGTTGTCTAATTTTGACAACTGAAAGTTTGTACCATTTTTAAAACAACAAAACACCTCCTTTCTAGGATAGGTTCCTATGCCAAGTACAATTGATCCATTTCTCTTAATAGAGAATTGTGCCAAGCTTTCCAAAAGAAACAAATTTGTGATCATCTTGAAATATGAGTAAATACATATGGTATTGTCTACAGGTTCTGGAAATAAAAACTTGTGTTTGTTAGCTGTGACTTTGAGAGCAGGAAAGCACTAGGAGAGCTGCTTTGGATCAGTTCTGGGTTCTAATCCCAGCACTTCCAATTGCTGGCTATGAGGTAATTAACTTCTCTGTGTTTCCTCACTTTAACAGGATAATAATATCTTCTCATTGTATTGATTGGCCACAGGGATTGGGTGCTTGCAATATTTGAATTTTTACTAGTGCATTCAAAGTTCAGTGGTATTTACTAGGAAAGCAAGGCAAGAAAAGTGCATGTCTGCAACAAAAATTGGAAAAGCACAATGGTAGTTCACTACTGGGTTTCTCTTCAGAATTAAGATGAACATGTCACATCTTTATTGGGAAGAAGCAGAGGAGAGAACACTGTGAATGCAGCTATTTTATGTTTTTCTATCAGCAAAAAAAACAAACAAACTTATTAATCCTCAGAATAAAAACTGAGACTCAGTAAATTTTGGCATTTTGTATAGCCTTGCATCATTATTTTTAGACTTTTTAATCATATGATCTTCCCACTTGCAAATTTATTATTGGAGAGAGAGGTAAAGGAGAATTCCTGGAGGATTTTTTGGAAACTAATGTGGCAGTAAAGCACAAGGAGGAAGAAAGAAATAGAGAAGTGCTACACAGTGAGTTTTAGGTAATTTAATAGTTTGATTTTCAACCTGTGATCGTGGCTGCTAGTTTTATGTGCACAGTTGCTAGGCAGATCATGTGTGCTTTTTTTATATATACCACCTGTAATTTGTCTTACTTTAATAGCAGAAATTATGAATATTTCTGCTGAGGCTACAGAAGTAAACAATCTTTAAAAGTTCTTTTGTTTGGGCCGGGGAATTTAGCTCAGCGACATAAACGCATAAGCGCCTGCCTGTCGAGCGCAAGGTCATGAGTTTGATCCCTGGTACCAAAAATAAAAAATAAAAAATTTACCAAAAAGAGTTGTTTTGTTTTTCAATAAAATTTTTCATGTATATGGATCATATCTAATTAATTCCCATGAAGTAATTGTAATATGCAGAAATCGACTTGAAATCACAGTACAGCATGAGAGTAACTCTACCAGCTCATAAGGTATTATGTCAATGGAATAAGCACACAAATGCTACAAATTACTGGATGGGAAGTGACAGAAAGTCACACCGTTGGCTCATTAGAACCTTAGGATCAAAATTCTAAGATACTTTCACTCAATATCATAAACTGATTAGAAGAATGAAATAATGCATCATTAAACCAGCAGTTCTGGTTTCAGCCAACAGACAGCCAGATACAGCTGACCTTGAATCTCCACACCGTAAGTCTTAGCTCCTTGTGTGAAGCTGGGCAGTAATCTGAGCCCGTGCCTAACGGGGAAAATGCAGCTATTAATACCTGACCAGCAGGGTGGTGCTGAGAAAGTGCCATTGCAAGCCTACATGCTTTAGCGTGCTCAATCCTAATTTTTCAAAGAAAGCTCTTCTTGACTGTTTCTGCTTCCCAGGCCTGATGCCAGAGACTCCCCTTGGCTTTCCCAGATGAGGTTCGAGCTTCCTTCGGAGGTGGAGACGGCAGTTCTGAACTTCTTCCCTGTCTCTGTCCAGTGGCTTTAGCTAGCCCCGTACTCTGCTTTATCAAACTGGTCACGTCAGCCATCCAGTGTTTTAGTATCAAACACAGGCCCATTTTTATTTGAAAAATAAATCACGCAAGTTCTTTTTCTGAGTTCATCTTTAAAAAAACAAGGCTGTATTTCCATCTGTTTCCTAAAGTTTCTAATGTGTCTTCACATGTTCCCATTGTTTTCCACAGATGGTAGTTCCTCAGGGAAGAACAGAAATGAGGAAAGTTTTAATTTGGAGTCCAAGAGCCATCGAGGAAGGGGGGAGCACCCAGCCCCGGAAGCAGGTAGGTGTATATTTGAAAATGCCGTGCAGAGCAGAGATATCTTCAGAACTGCATGTGCTGTGGTTGAGGATATCAGATGAAGCCATGAGCATTCAGGGCAGGTACAGGGATCCAGGGGCCAGAAGAACAGTGTTCTCCTCTTCTGTGTCACCTTGCTTCATGGTGCTCCTGACCTTAGAGCTCTTTGGATCTCAGTTTCCTTTCATGCACCTTTCCAGGTATAGAATTCCGTATGAGGTCATACCCCTTGTGGTATAGGGTTAAGAACAAGGTGACACAGTTCCAAACCCGGCTCCACCATCAAATTCAGTGACACTGGAAAGGTCTTTATCTCTCTGGGTTCCAATTTTCTCACTGCTGAAATGAATATTATTATGCTTGCCTCATAGGGTTGTTAAGGAGAACAAATAGAACGTTAATATGAGGCATGTAGCACACTTGTGAGGCTCATTTCATAGGATGATGATATAAATAATATAAATTATGGCTGTTATTATGATATTTATGAATCAAAAAAAAGGACTGAGTGCTCTCTCAGTGCTCCAGTAATAAATACTGAAAGCTGCAGAAATGGAGAAAAGTTATAGAAGGTACAAGGAAAGTTTACTGAGTGAAAAAAAATACCATAACTCTACACTTCTGATTTTCATAAACTAGAAAGAAAATAGTTTGGACACAGTGCTGTAGCAAGACAGGCTTTAGGGGAGAGAACCAGGCCTCATGGGTAGGTGATCCCCACATAGAAACCACTGCCTGTGTGGGCCGCTGCCAGGGTGGGGACGTCCACACCGGGCCTCTCTGTGAGTCAGCAACAGGGGCAGACTGAGGAGGACAGAACCAGGCCTCACAAGGAGGTGGTCCCTGCCTGGAAATAATATCGTTTTCATGGGTTGGGTTTTATTCTCTTTTGTTTTGTTTGATTATGTTAAATCTGATGGCAGGATCAGCAGTTTAAAAGATAGCAAGACAAATTATGATAGCCATTTTGGATTTCCTATTGACTTATTTTGAAGTCCTTTGTTGCACTCATTGTTTTGTTTTTATTGTTTCTATTCTATTCTGTTCTGTTCCATTTTTACTATGACCAAAGGTATCTGCAACTATTTCAAAGACAACAAAAGGCATTATGGTAACTATTGCTGATTTTGTAACATTTTGAAGTCTTGTATCACTTTTACTAGTTTATTTTGATTGGTTTTATTCTGTTTTGTTTTCCTTGGTTTTTTCCTCTTTAAAATAAAATTTTTTAAAGTTTTTTAAAAAAGAAAGGCAGGCTTTAGACCTAAATCCCACAAACTAATCAGTAAAAAGAAATTTAGAAACATCATTTTTAAATTATAGGTTGAAACATTGAAAAAAATTTTACCTTTGCATTATCTACATAATACTAAAATATAAATGTTTTTGTTTTCATTGAGACAGGTCTCACCATGTAGTTCATGCTTGCCTTCATCTCACTGTATAGCCCAGGCTGAGTTCAAACTCAGATGATCCTCCTGCCTCAACCTCCCAAGTGTCAGGATTATAGGTATGCACCACCGCTTCTAATTTAAAGATAATTTTAAAATGAGAATTATCTAAGAATAAGCTAGAGGTTAAGTACCTGGATGCCCCTAGTCCAGTCTGTTGGCCAAGTGGACTTAGCCTGTCCTGAGATATTTTTGAAAAAGAGTCCCTGTCCCCAGTCAATCTGGCCCATGGTCAGAGGTTTTTGGTCCATGGCCAGCTAACATAGCACTTGAGTTTTAATGGCTGGTACTCATTCTCATTGTTAGATATTTTGAATGTCATTTTTTCCATTCATTATGAGCAGAATATATAGTTTATCACCTTATCTGATTACTGAGAATTTACCATGGTGTGTTTTAGAAGGACTGGAAAACTTTAAATCTCAAAATGCCCAAGCTAAATATTTTTTAAATTTTATTTTAAAGAGAAAAGATATTTCAAAATAAGATAATAGGAGGGTAACAATGTTAATACATTTCATACCATCATCTTTAAATTAGTTACTTAGAGTACAATGTATTGGCATTTAATTGTCCAAACAATATTAGCACAAACCTTTTTTTGCAATGAACTAAATTAGTAGTATAACGATCTTAACTATTACATATATATATATGTGCATATATATATATGCTTTTTTTTCTTTTCTCCATTCCCCTATCACAGTTTCCCTTTTGAAGTTTCTTCCCATTTTATAATATCTATTGTACATTTTGATTCTTATTTACTCTTTCAGCTTCTCACACTAGGGAAACAACACATTTGAGTCTGGTTCATTTCACTTATGAGTATGGACTTGAGCAGCATCCATTTACCTATAAATGTCTCAAGTTTATCATTCTTTATGGCTGAGTAGTACTCCATTGTATAACAAAATGCATCTTTTTTATCCATTCCTCAGTTGATGGGCATTTAAGTTGTTTCCAAGATCTAGCTATTACAAATTATGCTGCTAAGAACATGGGTGCACATAGATCACTATAGTATGGTGTTTTTAATTCTTCAGGGAAGATACCCAGAAGAGAAATAGCTGAGTTCAATGAGACCTCCAATCCTAGTTTTTTGAGGAATCTCCACACTGATTTCCATAGTGATTGTTCCAGTCTACACTCCCACAAACAGTGGAGGAAGGTTGCTTTTGCCCTACAGCCCCTCTAGCATTTGGTATTGGTTGATTTCTTGATCATAGCCATTCTTTGTGGAGTGAGATGGAATCTCAGTGTTTTAATTTGCATTTCTCAAATGACCAGTGCTCTTGAATACTTTTCATGTATTTATTTGCCATTTGTATTTCTTCCTCTGAGAAATGTATATTCATCTCAGATGCTCGTTTTTGGATTGGTCTTTAAATTTGGGAGATCTGTTTTTTGTTGTTGTTGTTGTTCTTTGTATGTCCTTGGTAGTAATACTTTGTCTGAGGAATACCTGGCCAACACTTTTTCCTACATTGTGGGTTGTCTCTTCACTCTGTTAGTGGTTTGTCTTGCTGGGCAAAATATAAGACGAGAGCCCAGTTGTTGATTCTTTGTGATAGTTCCTGTACTGCCTACACCAGTATCTTCAAGAATTTTACCTATTCTATCCTCCAGCAGATTTAATGTTTCTGTTTTAATATTTAAATGTTTCATCTATTTCAAATTTTATTTAGTAATGGTGAAAGATATGGGTCCAATTTTAATCTTCAACATGTACACAGCCAGTTTTTCCTGTACCATTTATTAAAGAAGACATCTTTCTTTCAGTGAATGTGTTTGGCATCTTTGTCTAAGATAAAGTGGCTTAGTATGTCTAGAGTTGTTTCTGCATCTTCTAATCTGTTCCATTGATCTTTGGGTCTGTTTTGTTTGCCAGTACCCTGCTGTTTTTAATACAGTAACTCTATAGTATAATTTCAAGTCAGGGATTGTGATGCCCCCTGCCTTTCCTTTGTTCCCCTTTGCTTTTGCTATTCTAGGTCTCTTCTGCTTCCAAATGAATTTTAAGATTGTTTTCTCTAACTCTGTGAGATATGCTAATGTATTTTGATTGGGATTGCATTAAATCTGTGTAACAATTTTGAGAATAAGCCTATTTTTACTATGTTGGTTCTTCTTAAGAACAAGGAATATCTTTCTATTTTCTGATACCCTCTTACATTGCCTTTTTCAGAGTACTATAGTTTTCAATGTAGAGGTCAATGTAGAGGTCTTTTTTACATCTTCCGGTAAATTGATTCCTAGATACATCATCTTTTTTTTTTATACTATTGTGAAAAGTGTTCTTTCCTTAATTTGTCTCTCAATGTGTTTATTGTTTGTGTACAAGAATGCTATTTTTGAGTATTGACTTGTAGCTAGCTACACTATTGAATTTGCTTATTAAATCCAGCAGTTTTTTGGTGGAATTTTTGGGGTCTTCTGTGTAGACTTATCATGTCATCTGCAAATAATTATAACTTAACTTCTTCCTTTCCTATCCTGATTCTTTTTCTTTCTTTCTCTTGTCTAATTGCTCTGGCTAAAATTTTCAGTGCTCTGTTGAATGAGAGTGGAGACAGTGGACATCCTTGTCTTGTTCCTGATTTTACAGAGAAAGTTCTCAGGTTTTGTCCATTTAGTATAATGTTGGCTATTGGTTTGTCATGGATAACCTTTATCAGACTGATATAAAGACTATCTATTCCAATTTTCTGTAGGGGTTTTAATTGTGAATGGGTGCTGCACTTTATGAAAAGCTTTTTTGGCATCTATTGAGATCATATGAATCATATGAGAGATCATATGATTTTTGTCCGTGGTTGTTAGTATGGTGTATTACTTTTATTGATATGTGTATATTGAACCATTCCAGCACCCCTGGGATGGATCCTACTTGATCATGGTGTATAATCTTCGTGATGATTTGTTGCATTCTGTTTGAGGATTTTTGTGTTTGTGTTTGTTAGGAAGTCTGGCCTGTAGTTGTCTTCTTTAGTTGAGTCCTTCTCTGGCTTTATTATCAGGATACTACTTGCTTCCAGAATGAGTTTGACAGTATTGCTTCCCTTTCAATTTCATTAAGGAATTTGAACAGTAGTGATATTAAATCTTGTCTAAATTTCTACAGAATTCAGCAGTGAATCCATTAGGACCTGGGCTTTTCTTTGTTGGTAAGTTTTTAATTACATTTTAAATTTCTTTGGCTAATATTGGTTTATTTAGAATTTTTATATCTTGATTCAGCTTTGGTAGTTCACATGTATCTAGGAATCTGTCCATTTCTTCCATGTTCTCCATCTTATTAGAATACAACTTTTCAAAGTAGGAATAGATGATCTTTTGGATTTCCACAAGGTCTATTGTGATTTCACCCTTTTCATTCGTAACTGCATGGATTTGAATCTCTTCTTTCCTTTTTTTGATAAGTTTGGATAAGATTTTGTCAATTTTATTTAACCTTTCAAAGAATCAACTCTTTGGGGGCTGGGGATTTAGCTCAGCGGCATAAGCACCTGCAAGCAAGCAGTCGTGAGTTTGATCCCTGGTACTGATAAAAAGGAAAAAGGCAAAAAATAAAATAAAAATAAAATAAAGAACCAACTCTTTGATTAGTTGATTATTTGTATTGGGTTTTTTTAGTCTCTAATGCATTAATTTCTGCTGTGATCTTTATAATTTCCTCCTTCATATGGGCTTTAGGCTTAGCCTGCTGTTCTTTTTCCAGAAGTTTGAGGTCCACCTTAAGTTGTTTATTTGCTCTATTTTCCCAATATGGATATTTATTGCTATAAATTTCCCTCTTAAGACTGCTTTCATTGTGTCCCATACATTCCCATATGTTGTATTTATGTTTCAATTCAATTGTAAAAATTGTCTAATTTGTTCTTTAATTTCACGTGTGACCCATTGGTTGTTCAGGAGGGTACTAATCAATTTCCATGTATTTTATGAAGTTCTTGTGGTTTCTTTTGTCATTGATTTCCAATTTCATTGCACTATGGCCTGATACTATGCGTGGGATAATTTCAGTTACTTTGCATTTACTTAAGCATGTTCTGTTAGCTAGTATTTGGTCTATTGTGGAGTATATCTCATGTGCAGCTGAAAACAATATATATTCTGCTATTGTGGGGTAGAATACTCTGTAGACAACTACTAAGCTCATTTGTTCAAAAGTTTGATTCAGTTCTAATAGTTCATTGTTGATTTTTTTGTCTAGCTGATCTGTCATATTGTGACAATAGGATATTGAGATCCCCCAATACAATTGTATTAGTGCTTATTTGATTTTTTATGCCTGTTAATATTTGTTGTGTATAGTTGGGGGCACTGTTATTTGTTGCATATATATTTATGATTATTATCTCTTCCTGTAGGATTATTCCCTATAGAAGGATGTAATGACCTTTTTTTTCTCTCTTAATTAATCATGGCTTTAAATTCACTCTATATGCAAATAGAATAGCTACCCCTGCTTTTTTCCAAGCTAAACATATTGAGGAACTATGCCAACTCGGTTTTAAAATGTTTCAAATAATTTTCAGTATTCTGTTTTATAGAATATTTCCATTTCTTTGTCACTGTCCAACAGGGGTCAGATTTGACAGTTCAGCCACCTCATATCTGACTTGGCAAATAGAACATTCTCCTTGATCGTATGTCTGCATTTTGCTACCACAGCTAAGTCTAAGCCCAGGAATGGGGACTGTTACCAACAGCTTTCTTGCCCTTTTATCTAAATAAACTCTTGTTCTCATCTTTAACAAGCTAGACACATTTAAGGGCTGGAAGATCCTTTTTCTGGCCTGAATAAGCAAATCTGGGGTTGGGTGTTGTGTTCCAGTTTAAGGGATATTGTTTGGGGCACCCGAGATCTCTGTGGGGTTGGCTAGTCTTTTTTTGTCCTGTCCTTTCATAAAATATCCAACTTTATGTGGTTTGTGCCCAAGGCTAGCGGTAAAACTGACACCTTTGGGCCACTTGGCCCTTTCAAACTGTCTCCCGTCAAGGTAGTCACTAAAGTGTAGACCGTTGGTATCAAGGAAGGAAACAGTGGGTTCTT